TGACTCACAAATATTTTTCCTCACACAAGTTGGTATTATGCCACTTGAGAAGAATTCCTATATTTTTTTTAATAGCAGAGAAATATTGATTAGGAGCTATGAAGAGTGTTTGTGTTTAAACTGTCGAACACGTTCCCCTTTTGTACTTTTGTATTCTGTTTCAGGGCCTGATACAGAGCCACATACATCTCAGGGACGTTTCCTTTGTATTGTTCAGTTTCCAAGTCTCTTTCTCATTTTGGCACATATTGTTATTTTAATTATTTTAGACATGTCTGGAGCTCTCCAGCTGTAGGCTCTGAGGTGCTTGCTCTGACTTTGAGCTCAAAGGATGTCTAGAAGGTTGTCAAGGATTTATTTGTTTTGCCTCAACTTTTGACAATAACCTTCCGGCTCTGTCTTTATTTTCTGGGGACTGTGGGAAGTTTCTGTGGATTTTTGTTGGATGTCCAAAAGGAAATTTCTTACTTAAACCTAGTGAAAAGAAGTCTCAAGTCAGAGCAGATTCAAGATATAGTAAGGATGGCGGAGGAGAAAGATGGAAAGAATCACATGAGCTGATAATAAACCAACTCTGGGACCACACTGCCTTCTGACTCTGTTATTGTTTTTATGTGACATCATTAATTTCCTAATGTTCAAACAATTTGTATTTTTTGACTAAAGATTTTTTTTAAGTAAAAAATGGAGAGCTGAAGGAATCCATTGCTTCTAGCAGCATACCTTATCACTGCTGATTAAAAATGACTCAGAGCTCTCAGCTTCATGATGAACAAGACCCTTTGAGGATAACCTGTCTTTCACTTGCCTCTGGATGTGTCACTAGTGGGTAGGTGACCTAGCAGTTATAGAAGACCCCACACTTGGCTGAAATTCTCAGAAATAAATGAGTAAGGAATTCCACAACTTCATTTTACACTGAGCCCTACAAATTTCATACAAGGCCCTGAAATCATCTGCCTTCAAAGCCTAGTTCAAAGATTCTCTCTAAAAAGAAAATAATGGTAGCCATCAGTGGAAAATCCACCTTCTTTAATTGGGGGAGATACAGAGGATTGAAGCCAGGGCCTTTTACGAAGTTACACCTCCAGCCCTTTTTTTATTTTGATTTAAGGTCCTACTAAGTCACCTAGGCTAGACTTGAATTTTGATCCTCCTGTCTCAGCCTCCCAGAGTGCTGAAATAATAGCCATGCATCGCTATGCCCGGCTGGAAAATCCATCTTATAAGCCTCTCTCTTACCCATGCTGTCTTTCTCCATTTAAGGATAAGAGAATGAGTGTTCTAACTTTATCTTTTCTCTTTTTCATCTTCCACCTAAAAAATTGGCTATGAAAAAGCGAAGGCTGGAGGTATAATTTAAATAGATGGTTCCAGAGCATCTCTCATGTTATCTGAGGTAGGCAATAAGCAAAGAGATGAACAGACAAGATTGGGCACATTCAGGGTGGTATGGCCATAGAGAGCAATGTGATGAACAGTAGCAAAATAGAGGAACGTTTTGCTGAGTACAAAGTATATCCCCAAGTATAATTAGGCTTTTAAAAAGGTACTGCTCCATTAGAAGGAGTGGCTGGGCATGAGTGCTGCACTAGAATTCAAATTTCATCTAAATAATATTAAATCTTCTCCTGGCATCCTATTTATGCTAATCCTTGCAGGGCTTAATGATGTTTATCAGGACTTCCATTTCCTCTTCTATAGAAATGTGCCCAGATAATGAAGAAAGGTTGGCTTTATTCAGAAACAGATTTATAAGAAGAGTGTGTAGCAAATTCTAATTTTGAGCACTGCAGGCTTTGTGTCTCACTGCAGTGATTTCATATTCATCAGGACTCAGGTCTAACCTATGCATCTGTGGACAATTGATTTAGGGTAGAAATAAAAGCTCAGACAACAAAGCAAGACTCCTCTCACACACTGCTGTGTATGAATACAAATGCTTTGTAATTGAAGGCTGAACTTTTCTATTTCATCTACAGCCATCTTTAAGGACAAAAATGGATACACTATGCTTCATCATATATAATGCAATGGTAAGTATGGGAGGTGCAATGCTGGCAATGTTTCATGGCTCTGTGAGGCTGGTCAACTATTTTTGATGAGTACTTATGTTCAAGATGAATGCTTAGCGTGAAGGAAAGGGACTGCCTCATTGCTGGAAAGCCTCCTTCCCCCAAAATCAAGGCTGGGACCTCTGGAAGAGTCTTAGATGGTGGTTTTCATCACCATCATGACTTAGAGGAAGGCTGTTTGGAGATGTTCTGGTCTTCTGTGACTCTGAGGAGATTTCAAGGCCCTCTGCTGACCTGAATAGTCTTAATTTCAACAAGGCCCTATGGACAAAGAAGATTCATCTAGTGTTTCTCTCCTTCTTCTTTACCCTTGCTCTCCTCTTTTCTGATTCATTAGCTTTCATATGCTTTTAAATCTATAGGACAGTCTTTGTTCAGTGCCTGATTTTCTGGGATTTTTCTTTGTTTCTCTAGTTTCCTCTTAGGTCCTCTTATGTCCTTAACACCTTTCTTTTTTACAGGGACCAGTGAGATGGCCTCTGTGGTGTGTTGAAAAAGGGAAAGGACTTATAAGGCAGAAAATCAAGCCAGGATTAAGCTGGGAGCTGTCCACAGTGAAAGACCTTTTGCTATCTTTTAGATTCATCTTTGTTTCTGATACAATGGATGTCTTGCCTTATTCACTTTGATTACATTTAGAATAAGTATTTAAATCCTTGAAATTAATCTTTTTCCTAAAAAGCTTTGCCCCTACAGTTTTTCGGCATGGAATTCTTCCAGATTAAAAAAAAAAATAGCTAGGAACTTGAGAGATAAGGCACTGGAGATAAGCCAATGCATGAACGTTGAGGACAGTTTGATGTCTACTCTCCTTTCTATTTATATAACTTTCACTCTCTACAACATTTGCCTCAAAAGGATACTGGACCCATATATGACAGTAATACCGGTGCTGCACCTCATTCAGAATCCACAAAGGACGGGAATGGCTTATAGTCTACACTAAATACTGGGTAGTGAGTACAACAGTGGTATTATTATTCATTTGTTTGTTTGTTTTTTTGGTATTAGGGATCGAACTCAGGTCCTTGCACTTGTGAGGCAGGCAGTGGAACCACTGAGCTAAATCCCCGGCCTATTATTCATTCATTTATACCCAACCTTGTTCAAGAAGGAACTTAAGGTGACTTATAATGATCTATAAAATACAATAAGATAACTAAATTGAATTAAAGACAATAGAAAGTTATAGCAAGAAGAAAATAGATAGAAAAGTATAACTGAAACTAGGAATGATACTGATGTAAATATTAATGTCAAAAATTCACATATATTTATTACAAGCAGAATACTCATTTAGTTTTCAGCTTTCTAGCAGCCAGTATAGAGAGGAAAACACACCCACCTGAATGAGCCTTGAGTCTATAATATAAAAAACAGACCAGTGATCCAAAAGAAACGCAGTGTTTTCAAGGGCTAAAGCCAGAACAAAAAAACATTCTACACCCCATTCTCACAGAAAGAACAGTACATGACATAATGAACAATATCAGGAACAAAATATTGACAACAGATCAATCTGTGTAAGTCCATCTTTTAAAGAATCACTTATACTGGGACAGCATTGGGCCAAAAGCCACCATGGAAAAGTAATTCTAACAGTGAAGTGGAGGACAGTGGTTTAAAATTTAGACTCTTGAGTTGCCAGATTTACAAGCAAGTGTTAACTCCATCCCAGAGACCAGGTGTTAACACTGCCCAGGGTGGATACAGAATTAAATAAAGCAAGGAAAGCAGAACACTTAGTACACTTGCCTCAAACATGCTGGGCAGTTGAGAAAGGCTCTTGTTGAATTAATGGTATAGATAGACTGCATTTTCTTTAGGCAGACTTAAACAACACCATTTTCTATTAATAGAATTTTTGCTGATAAGCATTAGTTGGCTATGCTTTTAGTCAAAAACATTCTCTATGCTCAGGGAAAGGGAGAAACAAAAACTTAAAGGGGAGGTAAGTCTGTGTACACTTTTACAAATTTTTTCATGTGTCTGAATCAAAGGCTACCTTCCACAAAACACAGTCTTGGCTCTTTATCAACAAACCAATTAAAATATAATTGAAACCAGAATTTTGTGTCAAAGAACATAAAATACTTTTAGGATTGAAAAGAGACCAGAATGGATATTTCCAGATATTCACCAAGCCTACCTCTGAAATTTCCACTCAGTGAAACACATGTAGAACGTTAACTCTGATTAATGTGTATCCTTGGTAGAATCTCTAAAATTTAAAAGATACTATATATAAGTAACCAGATTTATCAGTTTGCTCTGTTGGGATGTCACTCGTAAGTCAATTATTGGGGCATGTGCCAAAGATGGGCATTCTACTTTTAAAGTAGTTTGTTGTCCTTCTTTCTGGAAAATAAGCAAGCTAGTAAAGGTATTTCTCAAAACCCATCACCATGACAACACCAACAGCTACCCAATGTCTATTGAGCAAAAATGTGTATTTGTCTTTTCTCCAGATGAGAAGTTGGAATGGTCAAAGGGGATCATGAATTCATTTCAATCAAAGATAAATTCAATGAAGCTGTTACTCCTATTTTGCTCCACTGAAAACGGGCACTTAATTCATCAAATATCATCTTATTTCTAAGTGTGTTCTTGGTTTTGGTGTCTCTGCAGGCATCAGTAGCCAAGATCTTTCAATTCATATAGTTTAGTTCATTTCTGTCCACTTAGCCCAAGACCAAAGGTAAATCTATAAAAAGTGCAAATAATCTCAATTTGGTATAGATTCATCACATTCCATTAAATAGTATTATGAACAAAGATCATTTATGGAATAGTTTCCCCAAAATACCCTTGTTCCTCAAGGCTGCAATTTATGAAGCAGGAATATGGCTTTCCTTTTGAACAGAATGTCCAAGAAACTATAGGGATGGGTGTTAATCTGAGGGAAGAAAAGTTTTGGTTTGTAAATTACAAGATGAATTTCACTCTGGGTCTAACCACAGTTCATCATCATGGTGGTCCCTAGACAGTTTTGGAGGTGGAAAATGATCTCTGAATATTTTGTCTAACAAAAGCTTTATAATGAACTCATTAGATAAGGGGACAATCATTTAATTGGCACTGTTATCATATTTTACTGGCACATTTTAAAAAGATATAAATCAGTCTGTCTTTGGTTTAAAATTTCTTGGTCATGTGCTGCTTCAAAAATTAATAAAAGGAGAGACATAAAAACCGATATATTTTTCTTTCCAAAATAATATAATAGGGATAGAATTGTGCTGTGAAGTCACTGGTTTCAATGAGGCACTAATTAGAAAGCAAATGTAGTAATTGCTTATGTCCCACTTTCTAGGGTAAACAAATTAAAGATTACATTCAAACTATTAATATTAACTTTCTGCAGTCATCCTTGGGTGTTGTTTAAGTAGGAGGAAACATCTCAAATATCTTCTTCTTTTTTTTTTTTTTGGTACCAGAGATTACAAGACATGTGGCAGAACCACTGAAGTAGATCCCCAGTTCATCCTCAAATGTCTTGACAAGAATGTAGCCTAGTGAAATTAAATTTTCAACTGTAAAGAGTACAGTGCCTTTTGTTTTCAGTGAGACATGCCTTGCCTGGTACTGCACAGGTTGACTGTCTGGCATTTTGTTAATCTAAGCCCATGTTTAGGATTTATAGCCTTACCTGATCGAGACAATTGCTGCGTAGGTAGATCAGTGCTTGCTGAATGCTTTGAGGCAGAGGTTGTCCTGATCTCTGGACATGAACTATGAGAGGAACACCAAAGACAGCTTTGTCTTTATAATCAGGAACTTTCATCCTCTTCATAAACTTTGGCACTGACCTAGAAATCACAGAAACCAGGTCATGCAAGGCCCCTGGGGCACAATGCAGGGAAAGGCTGTGGAAGAAAGCGAGAGGGAAGCCAAGCTCTCATTGCAACACCCCACAGACACAGAGAGAATTCAACGTTTTCTCTCCATTAATCACACTACAAGGTAGTTCTATGCATGGTCTCTGCTTGCGTGTTATTTCTATTAAAAACCATTATTCGTGTCAGCAGAATGTATTTATAGCTCTGTTTTCAAGTCAAGTGGATAACTTTCCAATTTAATTGTGACTGATACATCCTTCAAGTGTTGAACACAATACCACAGAACAAGATAAAACATATGTAAAATTATACAAGGAAGAAGAAATCTGGTTGGGGTTGGGGGAGAAAGGTGAGGGAAGATGAACCACATTTCTTGTTTTCTAGAGTCGGTTGCCCTTTTTAAAAGGGAAATTTAATACACAAGCATATACTGAATTGGCCACACAATTCATAACCTTCTAAAATATTTCTATAAAAGCACCACTGATCCTTCTATATACATAATTCATGACAATTACTGACACATTTTGTATTTTTCATTTTCACCAAAACATCTACCATAGGTCCATATACAAGTTCCAACCTGTGCTTCTGTCAGTTCTTGAATAGCAAAGATTTACTGTTGATATTCTAGTTTTTATTTGTCAATGAGGGTTTGAAAGTATTTGAAAAATTAAATGTGCTCTGAACAAATTAATGCTTTAAATCATAAATTCCATTTTGGTCCAGAAGGTGCAAGAGACAGATGTTGGTCTGCAAACTGCTAGAATTATTTTATGGCAAGTTTATTTTTAATTCCTCTGTTCCTAATCTGTGGCCCTTTACTGGTCTCTTTTTCTGTCTTGGAGCCTGACTGACTTCCTTGGAAACCAACCGAGAGAGACAAATAACGTAATGCTTTCTGCGGGCTGCATGGCACCTGAGCTGGGCAGCTCACAAGGTGGACCGAAAGGCTGGACTCTCGGGTGTGGGATTTCCTGCAGATGGAGTGCAGGCAAAGAAGAGATTCTTTAGACACAAGGGTGCACACACTGACGTTTTTGCAAGTGCACACCCAGCCCTGAACACACAGTCCCCGTAAACACGCTACACACCATGTCCAGCCGTGCTTGTTGGACATGGAGTGCTTCTCCATGATGGCTGTGAGGCGCAGCAGCGAGAAGCGCTGGAGCAGGTTCAGCTGGCCGGCGGTCTGGCTGCTGATGTGGGCCGAGGCTGGGGACGGCCGAGGCTGGTGCGAGAGCTGGAAGCTGTTCCACTGCAGCCGCCTGGAGCAGGAAGAGTATCAGAGAAGCCAGTCACAGAGTGGACTCGTTACTGGGAGACACAGGACACCTCCTGTGTGTAAGTGGCTCATCAAAACTGTTTCTGAGCCAAGAAAATCACAAAGCAAATAACTGATGACATAAATGTGCAAAATTCACAAGAGAAATTATTTTTTTTTAAACTGGATACATCTAGTAAAAGTCATATTAACTTTTTCATTATGGGGTTTAAATAAATGATAAATTAAGTTTATTTGTTTATTCTCAGATTTGTTTCCGAAGTGTTAAGAGCAACTGAGACAGTGTGAATGTGTATGTGTGTGAAACAGAGACAGACAGACAGACAAAGAAAGACAGAGATAAGGAAAAAGGAGACACACCGAAGGGAGAGGGAAAGAGACACAGAGAGAGACAGAGAGAGAGAGAGAGAGAGAAAGAGAAGGAACTTACTGCAGGAGTGTTCTCAAGCACTGGGGCTATAAAGCATTTCACTCTGCCTTTCATGCCTCCGTGCTCTAACTCTCAAATATGGCTGAGATGGAGCCAGAAGGTGACAGGCTCAGATGAGAACATATCAGTGACTCTACCATTAAGGCCTCCCACAGCCATTTTCTAGTGTGCTTCTCAAGTGGTCTCTGTAAATAAGTTCTTATATGGTTTATAATCAGCATCTTAAAGCAAAAATAATTTACCAAAGTACATGCCTTAGATCTCCTGTTTCTCATGGGGTTAAAAAAAGGTTCAAAACTGGAAGCAGAGACATTTTAATTAATATGTTTTGATGGGGTGGGAGAAGCCCTGGCATAGGAACTGGGTCTCATTTATCCACGATTCCCCATGTATGGTACCTGACATATGGCACTGCACATGAGAGACTCAAAAAAACTTTAATAAAACTAAAATCAAAATAAAGGATAGGACCGGGGATTTAGCTTGGTGGTTCTGCAGCCTGCTTTGCATGCACAAGGTCCCAAGATAGATCCCTGATACCAAAAAAACAAAACAAAACAAAAATAAAAACAAAAGCAAAAAACAAAAAAGAGTAAACAGATATGAATATGTGTTGACATGGATACAATTACCACATCTATACAAAAGACATACTTCCATTTGAGTAATTCAAAACCATATGTATCACGGCTGGGGATTTAGCTCAGTGGTTTTACCGCCTGCTTCACAAGCGCAAGGTCCTGAGTTTGATCCCCGGAACAAAACAAACATATAAAAAAACCCCATATGTATCATTTTGGGTAGTGTCAGGCATTTAGTAAGTGTCCTACCCATGTGGTTAAGGAACTAAACATTGCATAACTACTAGGATGAAACATCCATTCACAAAAGTGTGGCACCCACCTGTTTGGCCTGGTCAGAGAGGCCCCTACACCAGAATCCCTCCTTTCCCTGACACCTGTGGCCTCAGATTCATTCAGAGATGTTCCATCTCTTTCCACATCACTGGGTGTTGTCCGACCCTCTGAGACAGAGTTGCCTTCAAAATCTAAGGTGATCTGATTAGGAGATGGAAAGGGAGGCAAACCAGGTTCCCCAAGCAACATGTCATGAGATTGCAGTTCAGGCAAGACATTTTTTGACCAGTCATCCACCACCTCTTGGAGCCCATTGACGTGCTGCAGAATGTCATCCAGCTGAGGGAAGTCTTTCCCCAAGTCTAACAGGTCTCCTGTACTGGCATACAGATGGGAGCCAGGGACATTGTCATAGACACTGACTCGGCTTGCTCTGTGGCAGGATGCCATGAGCCTGGGCTCCCTTGTGCCAGGACCTTGTTGACTGCCCAGTGAGATGCTCCCAGTCCTCCAGTTAACCCCGTTGCTGTTATCTGTGGGTGACAGGCTTTCAATAGAAAGTGCCTTGGGAAATGTTCCTGGTTTGTGATCCTTGGGAATGTGTACAACCAAGTTCTCTTGGGAGTGAAACCCATGTGCGTGGTTTTGGCCTCCTGCATCCTGTAGTGCTGTCCCTGACAGGACATCCAAGTCCTCCAGGTACATGCCCCCACGTTTGTTGGCCTCATGGTGGCATTTCTGTTCCTTCAGGCATGGAGTGCTCACCCCACTGCTGCTATTCTCTGAGGGGCTGCTCTCTCCACTGGATTTGCTGGAGCACGGAAGTCCTTTTCTGCAGGCAGTGGGGGGTGAATTCTGGAGATCTCCATTTGGTACCTGGATGCACTGCATGGCCCTAAAGGACTCTGGCTCCTGTTGCAACACAGGTCCACTGATCACCAAGCCACCTGTCTGCCCTGACCCCTTGTGTCTTCCGTGTGCTCCCTTGGCTCGGAGCGTTTCCATGCGTTTCAAAAATGATTTCGCCCGGGTCCTGGTGGGTTTCTCATTCTTAGGGTAGAAAGGGTGGTTGAGAAGGTCCCGGGAGTTCTGTGGGAGGCTGCTGCCAACTAGGGTGGCCTCCAGCATGCCCGGGCTATCGGCACAGTACTGGCCAGACTGGCTTCGGTTGTCGCTGCCTCCACTGCTTTCGCTGTGAATGGAGCAGACCTCAGGCTCGCTCAGGTCTGTGAGGACACTCTCACTGCTGGTGGTGTTTCTCATCTTAGGGCCTCCCGGTGACCCATTTCTGTCTCTCCCAGGGAACAGCGTGTGCAGGTCGTCCACACGAGACCACCTGCGGCTGGTTCTTTGGAAAGTCCATTTGTTGCTGATACAAAGATCTTCCTCATCTGAGTCGTCACACTGTATAAAACATAAAGGAAGAATCGCATTTTCAGGGTGCTTGGCTGCAGGTGACCCAGGCAAGAATGGATCCAACTCCTATTCCCCTCTGTCTTTCTTTCCATTCACACAGCGTGTCCTGGGTGCCCCTGCCTGGTTTCTTGGTCTTACAAGCCCTCTTTCTCATCAGGAATAGAGGGTTTCTTCTCAACTTGCTAAGCTTACTTTCTTCCCATTTTCATAGATTTTTAAAAATTCTTACTAAGTTTTCTCTGACTGATTCCAATGAGGATGCAATTACCATCTGACTACAGTCTAAATATAAAACACCTGCAGTTCTCTTTTACACACACACACACACACACACACACACACACGCCCACATTCCCCCACCCTACTCCACACACACTCACTCAACCCTGCCATAAAGAGCACTTACTTCCCCAAAACCTCTTCGTTGAGCTCTAGGACCATTCTTTCAACTTCTCTCTTTGAATTTCAATGGTCACTTATTTCAAAGTTAACACTTTCAAAGTTGACTGTTACTGTATAGTCCCTGAATAAATTAACAGCAAAATCATCTACCAAAATTATTTATATAGAAATTTGGGGGTTAGTTTAGAGATCACATTTCCACAGTGTAGTCCAACTGCTGCTTTGCCTGACCAACCTTTCTGTGTTTCATCAACCCCAAATAGGAATGCCTTTGGCAGGACACACATGTGCAAGTTGCTATGTCCATCTCCATGGCTTTCCAATATTTTGATTCTGACCTCACACACTGACTTCACCTGTCTGGTTTCTACCTGAATTTCAAGCACCAGAGAGATGATGAGACTGTATTCCCTGAAGCCAGGAGTGGTCTTATGTATCCTTGTGGGTCCCAGGGGCCCAGCACAAATCCTGAACTATAACATGCTTCCAGAAAGAACTGAAATGTCAGCTCCTGGCTCTTCCTCACCATGCATATCACTAAGATCCTATGTGAAAATGACATTTAAATCTGTTCTCTTCCTTTATCTTCACTCCATTCTCTTAGTCCAGGCCTTCACCACCTATTTTTGGATCTATTACAGTAAAAATCTAGTCAGGATATTTGTCTTTAGATTTTCCCTATCCAACTTTCCACAGTGCTATCCAAACATGATCATATAAAGAAGCCTTCAGCTTTGAAAGCTTCCAACAAGAGCAGGGCCTGTATTTCCCTCTTTTGTCCATATTTATATCACCTCCAGTGCCAAACTCATAATAAATACTTGATTTTGATTTTTTTTGCTGGTTGAATTTACTTTCATCTGACTTTGACATCAAGTTCTAAGAGCTGGTGTAAAGGGCTAGTGGTAACAGGTAAGAACTCTGCAATTGTTTTCAAGTTAGCTTCTCTAAAGGAGTTTCCATCACATATAGAGTGAGATTAAAAATAAGCTTTGTCTCATAGATTTGCTGAAGGGATTAAATAAGGCAATGCATTTAGGAGTCCCTCGCTGTAGAGTATTTGTTATTTTAAAATATTTATTCATTTATCTATTGTTTTAATATATCTAACATTTACCTTAATTGCCCTTAACCTTGCAATATATTCCATTTTCAAAATAAAGGAAACAGATGTAGTAAGTATTGTTGGAATGTTCCATTTCTTATTTAATTGCTCAAAAACTAGATTCTGTCTGGGTTGGACTAAATTTGAACATTCAAGTAGAAAGTACAAGGAAGTACAAAATGAAAGTATTAATAAGAATTACATAGCTTTGATATCACAATAGGGGAATAAAGGTTTGATTTTTAAAAAAGTAGTATAGAAGTTTGATGAAAGAATTTAAAAAACTAAAATTTTACACAGGGAAAAAAAGGCAGGAGATTGGAATCATGAATCAAAATACACTTTTTTTGTGGTACTTTCTGCTTCTTCTTTTCCTGTGATTGATAACATAAAAACCAATACATGAGGGCTGATTATATACATGGTAATATAATAGATAAAGGTAAGGCTTGTTGAATTTTCACATCACATTTCAGGAAGCTAATGAGGTGAAATTAAGTAAGCATCTTAAAAACGCCCATCCAGCAAACAATTTTAGAGAAGGCGAAAGAAAGATCCACTTGTAAAGAAAATACAGATTTTTTAAGAAAGAGAAAGTATAATATTTAAATGTTGGTTCCAACTACCCTGTCAAACCTGGTTACTGATGCTAGTAAACCACATACTAGTTGGATTAGGACTATTTTAGATAAGATACCAAGCAGGGCTCTATGGCCTGGGGATAGAATGCTCTTCCTATCTGCTGAGATTGAAGAGCTTATTATGCTAACTTTGGTCAACAGGAAGATATTTACAATTCTACTGAGGCATGTGAAAGAGTCCTACTGAGGCATGTGAAAGAGTGGTAACTCCTGGAAACATAGCCAAATAGTTCAGGGAAATTCTGAAATCTTTAGGTTGTTTTACCAAAGCAATAAAAATAAAAACAAAACAAAAAAGAAAAGTAAAACACACCCTTTTCCTTTAGCACTCTCTGTATACAGTACAGTTATATCACAGTATATTTCCGAGTACCAAAATGGTTCTGTGTTTGTTTTCTCCACTAGTGAAAGATCTTTCAAAGATGGGACAATGCCACATGATGAGATACATTTTCTATCGCAAGTCAGGGTATACCTATGTTATACTAGAACAACAAAAAGTTATGTTATCATAAGTATCCCTGTTTGTTTGTATTCTCATATTTTATACAGGTTTGAGGATCTCTAATCCAAAACATTGAAATCTGAAATGTTCCCAAATCCAAAATTTCTGAGTGCCAACACTGACACAAGTGGACAATTCCACATTTGACCTCATGTGATACATAGAAAACTGCAAGTAATCTTAAAATATTGTATAAAATTACCTTCAGGCTATGTGTACAATGGTATATATAAAGTATAAATGAACTTCATGTTTAGACTTAGAACCCAACCACAAGATATCTCATTATGAGTATTCAAGTATTTCATAATCTAAAAAAATCCAAAATCTATATAACTTCTGGTCTGAGTATTTTAGATACTTTATTTGTAGCCTAGGCTAGTCTGTTTTATATTATTGGCCATATTGTTTATGACCCACTAAAAATGCAAAACAGGGCCATGATCTATGGTGTGCAAAATGTACTTTACTAGACTTTAGGTTCTTTTTATACATTTGGAGCTGAGCAAAGTATCAGGCCCACGGCAGACTCTCCAATAATATTTGCGATAGTATTCAGATTGCTTAAAAAATTATCAGATTTCATCTGTTTGGTCATGATTTTGAGGTTACAAACAATTTGTAATTATTTAGAAATGTAAAATGGAGCTAAGAATCAGATGTGTTTATGAAGTAAGGACACTCTAAACTAACTTTATTCTCCAATTTTAATAGTTTGGTAGATCATGCACATACTAGGGACACAGAATATCAGAATTTCAGCAGTGGACATACAGAAGACCCTCATGATACTTTTGTGGTTAGGATGGCCAACTGGGCTTGATGCTACCAGAATTTTGTTAGTTAATTGTTGAGCAAATCCATCAAGGAGTGGGATTAAAAGACTTTGAAGGCAACTGAGGGAGAGATCTGTGCAGGCCTCAAACTCATGGACATTTTAAGAACTTAAATGAGCCAGAACATGTGCTTTTAAAATATGAAGATGGCATACAATTATTCGCTAAGGGATCTTGATCTAGGTATCCTCTTTGAGATTCAGTTTTCTCAACTGTAAAATAATAATGAAAGCAATACACATCATGGCTAGCCTGTGGAATTTAGTGAGACACTGTCTCAAAAACAACAACAGAAGGGCTGGGGATTTAGCTCAGTGGTTCCGCTGCCTGCTTCACAAGCAGAAGGACCCAAGTTCGATCCCTGGTACCAAAAAAAACAAAAACACACGCACAAAAAAAACAAACAAAAAAAACTCCAGAAATAGCAAAAGACTAATTAAACTATTGACAAGCATCAATACAGGCTGAACATCTCTAATCCAAAAAATCCCAAATCTGAAATAACCTGGAGTCTGAGATTTTTGAAGGCCAGTGTAACACTACAAAAACATATAGCACACCACAAAAACTTTGTTTAATGCACAAAATTACTAAAATTATTGTACAAAGTTACCTGTAAGCAATGTATGTAAGGTGTATATGGAAATTAAATAAATTCCATGTTTAGACTTGGTCATTATCTCCAAGATTTATTATTATGCATATGGTATTCTTCCAGAATCTAAAAAATAACTAAAATCCAAACACTTCTGGTCCCCAGGATTTTGGATAAGGATAATCTGTATTGTATAAATAATTTAACATAATGGAAGGATTATCAGTTCATAGGTTGACATTTCATGAAGTGAAATACAATGACCTTAACTTTAAAAATCAACTATAAGATGTGTAGGGTATAATGGATTTAGTTCAGGGGCTGTTTCAATTCACAGAATTAAGAGTTTTGGCAGATTTAATCTTACACTGAATTAGCCATGCAATATGGCTACCAAAGATGCCATCCTCAGGATGTGCAAATGGAACAGGGAACTCAAGATTTGAAAGATTAGAGCCCACCGTATTTTCACTGGCCAGATGCAACAGGAACCTTGGGCTCTTTCTAAGGGCCACCTATTAAAGGTGTGTTTCTAGAGAAGAGCAATTAGAATGGACAAAGATCTAGGAACTACAGCCTTCTGTGAAGAATGACTGAAAGAACCAATTAATCTGGCTCAGAAGCAAGGAACTCTGGACAGTGCAGCTCAAAGTGTGGTTAGGGAAGTGTGAGTGCACAGACCTCCCAGTCCTCAGAGAGGCAGGCACAGAAACTGAGAGCAGGCAGTAAAACTATTGGGTACTATCTGACAGGACTATGCTGTCCAAGCTTGAGATTGTGGACTTGTCTTATTGAACAGAGTAAATCAGCTTATCTACTATAACCCACACCTTCTGAACTGTTTCATAATCTAAGCTTACAGCTTTGTAATTGTAGAATCTAGCTAAGGATGAAGACTTGAACA